ACAAAAGCAGTCATTACACTGATCTGAAACATAAAATACTTTTACATCTGGGGAGGAGATATTCACGATGCTAAATTTTCAAAACAGAAAAAATATTTTGCGGGGAGAAAAAAACCAGTTAGAGAATACTAGGGAAGTGTGTCAGGGATCCCCAAGACCCAGTTTTTCCACCTCCAGATTTGATGATTTTAGAGGACTCACAGGACATAGCATATTGCTGTATTCACAGGTATGACTTATCACAGCGAAAGGATATGAAACAAAATTCGCAAGGGAAAAGGTGCATGGGGTAAAGTTTAGAGGAAAACAGGTTTCCACTCCAGCCTGAAAAATTAGTTTGAGTCTTTGTTTCAGAGGGACTACCTGAAGACAGTCAGCTCCATGTTGGTTCCTGACATCAGGTTATCAGCCTGACGACTATGGATGACATCTGGAGGTGTTCTGTGTGGGAAATGCAGGCGCTGAGGCCACTCCCTGCTCTCATAGGTCTGAGCACAGGCTCAGCAGGCTGTTTGAATTCAAAGTGCTTGCAGCATCTTAAAAAGGTAGCATGGGAAGTTTTTCTTTAGGAAGAGGGGAAAGGCAGTATTGAAAAACAAAGATCATCAGTCTGCCTCCTTTGAGATTCCCTAGGTGCCAGTGTTTGTTTTTTGTTATTATTACAAAATCAGTATGTCCCATTTAGCAGTCATAGTTTCACATTTACAAAACTGTCCTCTACTCTCATCCAGACCTTTTGTCTGGAAGGGATGTATTAAAGGGGGACAAAAGTTTTCACAGGATTTTTTTTCTTTTTCGAGACAGGGTCTCGCTCTGTTGCTAGGCTGGAGTGCAGTGGCACAACCTCGGCTCCCTGCAACCTCCACCTCCCGTGTTCAAGGAATTCTCCTGCCTCAGCCTCCCGAGTAGCTGGGACTACAGACCCGCACCACCACGCCCAGCTAATTTTTGTATTTTTAGTAGAGATGGGGTTTCACCATGTTGGCCAGGATGATCTTAATCTCTTGACCTCGTGATCCACCTGTCTGAGCCTCCCAAAGTGTTGGGATTACAGGCATGAGCCACTGCGCCTGGCTGGAAAATATTTTTATATAACATAACCAGAAAGACATATGTTTCAGAACTGGACAGAATTAAATCTTGAATTTTCAAAATATTTCAAAATGGTTTGAGAGAGCCACTCACCGCTTTCATCCTGATGATTCATTTAGTAAGTGGCCTATAGCATCATTCCATTTCTGGAGACAGCTGCATTTAGGAATCAAACTGCCTTACTAAGGTGTGTGCACCAGTAGAAAGGTGGCAGAGTAGCAGCAGACTGTAAGTCCGCTGTTGCAAATTGCAGCCTGTCCAGGAAGTCCCAAGTAAACACAGTGAAACTTTCCCGAGAGAGGTGGAGAGTAAGATGGGTAGACACAGGGGTCACAGTCCTAGTGATATGCTTTCCCCTCAACATGCAGCTTTTGTCAATAATCACAAGTTGGGAATGCAATCAGTCCCTGTATCAGAAATACAGAACAGATGAGCAGTTCGACTTCATATGGTACCACCAGAGAAGCCGGTTCCCATGGACACCTGTGATAATCCCCATAGTTCCGTCAACATCCATGCTTTTATAGTGAAGAGCCCCACAGAGTGGTATCCTAAATCTGCCTTGATCCCCAAGTAGAAGTCTTGTTCCCTGAGCCTGTATCTCTTTCAGTTTAACACAGCTTGTGCTAAGACTGAAGTAGTGTGTAGGAGATAATGTCAAGTTTTAGCTCAAGTGTCAAGTCCAAGCAATTAGGCTCTATGAATTCAGGATTCCAAAATATGCCAGAGACTCTTCTTTGGCAGCAGTAAAGCTGAGATGCTGAAGGGCCAGTCATGTTTCCAAGGCCAAGCAAAAAGCAAAGCTTTCCTAAGTGCTTTCTAAGACCCACTCAAAATTATGCACATCAGGCTAGAAAATCACCAGCCTCTAGGGTCAGACATCTGATTTTCTATGAGCTCACTTGCAATTAAAAACTGCTTACGCCTGTAATCCCAGCACTTTGGGAGGCCGAGGCAGGTGGATCACGAGGTCAGGAGATCGAGACCATCCTGGCTAACACAGTGAAACCTCGTCTCTACTGAAAATACAAAAAATTAGCTGGGCGAGGTGGCGGCGCCTGTAGTCCCAGCTACTCGGGAGGCTGAGGCAGGAGAATGGCGTGAACCCGGGAGGCGGAGCTTGCAGTGAGCGGAGATCGCGCCACTCACTCCAGCCTGGGCGACAGAGCGAGACTCCGTCAGAAACCAAACAAAACAAAACAAAAAACTGCTTTAAAAACTCTTAAAAGTGTTTGTCTTTTTCCAGAGGCTCCAATGGGGAACGATCATAGTAAATATCAGCTGTGAGATATATTTTGCTTTCAACAAAGGATTTAAATTTCCATCTATCCTACAGCAGCAAAAAGCAAGGAAGTTGTGTCCCATTAACTTTTTCTTTGCAGCATTGCCTTATTGAGCTAATCCCTCTACCATCTGCGACATTACAAGCATAAAACATTTTATATCAACTACTATCATATATCCACAGATGTAATAACTGTAAAATACAAGGCCATTAACTGCCCTCCGCTGCCCCACCCTGGCCCGACACCTTCCTCACTGTAGATGTATTCAACCCCTTGCAGTAAATTTAGCGAAAGTTTTAATATTACAGTTGCGGAGGAGACCCTAGTTGGAATGGGGTTGAGGGCGTGCAGGTAGGCTAACTACTGAAGTATGTCCCCTGCCCTTTTTTACTTTGCTCCAGCCCTGAGAACTGATTCAACCTTTTTTCCTCCTACTTGTGAGGGAAGCGTGCCATCAATGTTTAACATTTTTGGCCCCACCAAAGCTTGTCTTTGGGAATTTTTGGGCCTTTTTTCTTTCTTCCTGGAGGAAGAACAAAAACTGAAGGTATTACGTTACCTGGGCTATACTTCCTTTTTCTCCTCACCGTAACCAGCATGGCCCAAAGTAGCCAGGTGATCTGGTGAGTCAGTTCTCCTGGAGTCGGATCTGTCATTTCAAACTCCGCAGGTAACTTTTACCTTTCACAGGCAACAGCTCAGCTGCTGTTTCAGGTCATGGAGAACTCCACAGCCATCCAGACATCACAGGTTTTCCAGCCTCCACCCATTTCAGCCTTTCTTTCCTCAGTCCTTTCTTTTGAGCCAGAATCTCGCTGTCACCCAGGCTGGAGTGCAGTGGCACGATCTCAGCTCACTGCAACCTCCGCCTCCCGAGTAGCTGGGATTACAGGCATACACTCACCACACCAGGCTAATTTTTTATATTTTTGGTAGAGACGGGGTTTCACCATATTGGCCAGGCTGGTCTCGAACTCCTGACCTCAAGTGATCCGCCCGTCTCAACCTCTCAAAGTGCTGGGATTACAGGCGTGAGCCACCGTGCCTGGCCAGTCCTTTTGTTACATTTCTGTGAGTCAAAGGTCTCCACAACCGCCCCCAGGTTTGGTGATTTGCTAGGACTCAGGGATCAGCATAGCATACTCACGACTATGACTTACTACAACAAAAATATACAAAACAAAATCAGCAAAGGGAAAATAAACATAGGGCAAAGTCCAGAGGAAAGCAGGCACAAGCTTGAAGGATCTTCTCCTAGTAGAGTCAGGTAGGATGTGCACGCTTAATCCCCCAGCAATGGTTTGTGACATATGTGAAATGGCTACCAGGGAAGTTCATTACAGACTTGGTACCCAAGACTTTTATTGGGTGCTGGTCATGTAGGCGTCCTCTGCCAAAATCCCAGAGTCCCACAGGGAAAGCAGGTTTTTAGCATAAACCAAATTAGTTGTACCAACAGGTTAGGCAAAGGGAGTCACTCTTCTCAGTTCTAGGAATAAAAACCTTACAGAAGTCCAAGCTCCCAGATGCCAACTTAGGGCCAATCCTGCAGGGAGGCCTTTCTAAGGACAGCAGTTTTAGGCCTATGTTAGTTAACTCTTCTATACAGGAACCAACTTGTTTTTTGAAAACAAGTAAAGGGGGAAAAAATCAAGCATCTATCCTGCTCTGTCACCCAGGCTGAAGTGCAGTGGTGCCATCTTGGTTCACTGCAACCTCTGCCTCCTGGGCTTAAGCCATCCTCTCACCTCAGCCTCCCAAGCAGCTGGGACTACAAGGCGCACACCACCATGCCTGGCTAATTTTTGTATTTTCTGTAGAGATGGGGTTTTGCCATGTTGCCCAAGCTGGTCTTGAACCTGTGTGCTCAAGCAAGCTACCCGCCTCAGCCTCCCAAAGTGCTGAGATTACAGGTGTGAGCCACTGTGCCCAGCTATCTTGCCTTTTCTATGGGGAATTATCTCAGGGTGACCAGCTATATGAACTTTTGTTTAGATGTGGATTCAAACTAACCATTAAAAAATTATGACAACTGGGGAAATCTGAACATTGTTTATTTGGATAGTATTAAGAAATAATGTTAATCTGTGGAGTGATAACATAATTTTAGGAGTTAATTTTAGGAGTGATGATATAATGTGGTTATGTTATAAAGAATCTTTATCTTTTAGAGATGCAGAGTGAAATATTGATACTTGAAATTAGGCCAGGTGCGGTGGCTCATGCAGATAATCCCAGGACTTCGGGAGGCTGAGGTGGGAGGATTGCCTGAGTCCAGGAGTTCCAAAGCAGCCTAGGCAATATCATGCAACCCCATCTTCACAAAAAATACAAAAACTGGCTGTACATAGTGGTATGTGCCTGTAGCTCCAGCTAGTTGGGAGGCTGAGGCAGGAGGACTCACTTAAGCCTGAGTTCCAAGCTGCAATGAACTATGATCACACCACTGCACTCCAGCCTGGGCAATAGCAAGACCCTGTCTCTAAATGAAATCTGGGATTTGTTTCAAAACAATTTGGGGCCGGAGTGGTATCTAAGTGACAGTTATATAGGGGCTCACTATATTATTCTACTTTTATATGTTTTGAATTTTCTACTGAAAATATTAATTTTATTTATTTGAGATGGAGTTTTGCTCTTGTTGCCCAGCCTGAAGTGCAACGGCACCATCTCTGCTCACTGCAACCTCTGCCTCCTGGGTTCAAGCAATTCTCCTGCCTCAGCCTTCTGGGTAGCTGGGATTACAAGCACCTGCCACCATGCCCAGCTAATTTTTGTATTTTTAGTTAGAGACGAGGTTTCACCATGTTGGCCAGGATGGTCTTGATCTCTTGACCTTGTGATCCCCCCACCTTGGCCTCCCAAAGTGCTGGGATTACAGGTCTGAGCCACCACGCCTGGCCGAAAATATTAATTTTAAAAAGACATTTAGATTAGACAAGTGGCATTTAGTAATGGTAATGCCAGTCCTTTTGCTAGTGCCTGGTTCATAATTAGGCATCTGACACAATTCTGGCTGTAAAACATGGATGCTTTTGGAAGGTTAGGGAAAAGGGAATTCCAGAAAGAGTTTCACTGTTTCCAAAGGGAGAGAGACATAGTCTCCCTCTGGATGTTGTGCTAAAATTGTTACCTCTATCTAAAACCCACAAAGGGAGCTGGCCCGGGGCTAGGGCCAACATCCCAAGGATGGCGGTTTAGAGAAATGAATAAATACCTCACATCCCTATGACACTCACAGTTGAGACACTGACCACATTGGAATGTAGCCTGCCTTATTCTGGACTTGTGTTGTAAGATAACTTTCCTCAATGTTTAAGCCAATTCGCACCCAATTCGAAGAGACCTATCTTGCAGAGTAGAGGCTGGCAAACTTTTTCCGTGAAGGGTCAAACAGTAAGTATTTTGGGCTTTATAGGCCATAAATCTTGGCTGCAACTACTCAATTCTGCCACTGCAGCCGGAAAGCAGTCAAGAAAACAGGTAAACAAATAAGCATGGCTGTGTTCTAATAAAACTTAATGAATCTCTCTGGTCTCAGCCGCAGAAGCAAGGTGACGAAGGCAACATCATCATTTGGAAAGTGTCGCAATAAGATGCACATGTGCCACCGCTGTGGCTCTAAGGCCTACCACCCTCAGAAGTCGGCCTGTGGCAAATGTGGCTACCCCGCCAAGTGCAAGAGAAAGTATAACTGCAGTGCCAAGGTTAAGACGAAATACCACCAGGACTGGTCGAATGAGGCACCTAAAAACTGTATACAGCAGATACAGGCATGGTTTCCATGAAGGAACACCACCTAAACCCAAGAGGGCGGCTGCTGCCGCATCCAGTTCATCTTAGGAATTTCAATGGTTAGTCATGCAATACATGTTCTGATTTAAAAAAAAAAAGAACTTTATGAATACTGAAGTTTGAACTTTACATAATTTATACATGTCACCATATAGTACTCTTTTGGCTTTTTTCAATCCTTAAAAAGAATGTAAAAACCATCTTAGCCTGCAGGCTGTACAAGGACAGATGACACGCTGGTGTTGGTTTGAAGGCCAGGCTACAGTAGTTTGCTAATCCCTGCTGTAGAGGAAGCATCGGAACTGATAACATTATGGTGTTAAATAATTCCTAGAATTTTTACGAACAATATTAACAGAAGAGTACATATATCAACAACCATTAATACAGTGATGATTGTGCTTATTTGCAACTGGTTATACAACATACATCCCCACACTATGTTGTCAAAGAGAAAAGCATACCAGTTTTGCTGAACTTCGTCAGAGTGCCCAATATCCATTTACTTGGCTTCATAATATGGGAGTTGCATCCGTCATTTCAAATTCCAAAGGTAACTTGTACATTTCACAATAGGCAAGAGCTGATATTTCCATTTAATGGAATATATACCTTATTTTACTAAAATAGCTCCTTATCCCTCACTGTCCAGAATTCTAGTTCCAGCACTGCCACTAACAGGTGAGGTAACCTTGGTCAAGTCACTTAACTTCTGGGTCTCCCAGTTTAACAATTCAGCACTAGGCCACGCATGGTGGTTCATGCCTGTAATCCCAGCACTTTGGGAGGCTGAGGTGGGCAGATCACTTGGGGTTGGGAGTTCGAGACCAGCCTAACCAACATGGAGAAACCCCATCTCTACTAAAAATACAAACTTAGCCGGGCGTGGTGGCACATGCCTGTAGTCCCAGCTACTCGGGAGGCTGAGGCAGGAGAATCGCTTGA